AGTGAAATGATCGAGACGAGCGCGCAACCATCAGTGTCTGAGGTGTCTGCTGAGGCTGCACCGGCGACGGTAGGTGAGCCAGGAGCCGCGACTGACGCGGTCGAATCGAGTGAGGAGACGTCGACCGAGTCGCCCGAGCTGGAGGCATCACCTGCTTCGCCCGCTCCGGAGTCCATGGGGACGCCGTCGACTTCGCTGAGCGATGCCGCTGAGCCGTCCCAGCCGGTAACGGACGACGGTGAGACTGCCGCCGCTGGAGGTAAGCACGGGAAGCGGGTCGGTAAAACCCGCAAAACCCGAGCAGACAAAGTAAAGAAAAAGTAAACAATGAATGTTGTGAAGTGCCGCGGTACTTGAACTTGACTGTTGATGTCCACTGCTTTCACTGAGCGTCAGGTCGCCCGCTCAGGGCGCTTCTATATCAATATACTTACCCGGATGATATGTAGTTAGTAAGTTATTCCGAGTGCTGCGGCAAGTAACTCGCTTCGTGTCTGTTTTTCGGTCAGTTTGACCCAGTTAATTTCAGTTAACTCAGATGGTAGGTTGAAGAGTGTGTTTTTCCCTCTTATTTTGTGTCGAGGTGTCTGGTTTCGATGACAGGTCGATTGATTGGTTTAGTCATTGATTGATAACGACTGTGTCCGTTCGATGATTTTGATGTCCGTGATTGATAACGAGTGCGTTAAGTCCTCGACCGCTGTATTTTTGTTCCCCGTATATTTATTTATGATTTGGTTGTATCTGCATACTAGTTTATCATATATCTATTCCAACTACTTGCGAGCTTCGCGATTGGCCGCCCGCCCAACGACCCGGGCGCTCGGCCCGCCCCACCTGTGACTTTTGTCCCTGCGCCGGGCCACCGTCCGACTGCGGAACATCCCTCATCCCGGTCCTATTTTCCCTTTCTTTCTCTGAAACGTTGTTATACTACTTTGTTCTCCGTCAGCTTCATTGATCCCCTGACCCAATTGCATAGTGTATCTCTGTACGTTTGCTCCTCCTCTCTTTCGTCCGGACCGCGGTGGACGCCCCGCCGCCCTCTAGCACACGCTCAGGCCGCCTCTCCCCTCCTCTCCTCTCCCCCAACGCTTCCCAAAACCCGCTTCAACCTTACCCAATTCTCTCCCGATTCTGTGTCAAATCATGCATCATTTAAACTATTTAATTATCCTCCAGACATGCGTATTCTTTTGATTATCGGAGGAATTGAATCGAACCCTGGGCCAATAAATAACAAGAAATTATCGAATAATATTACGATAGCCCATGTAAATATAAACAGTATAACGGCCACTGGCAAGGTCCAAGAGCTAACAAATTTTGTCGACGTTAATAAAATCACAATTCTCGCACTCACTGAAACTAAATTGGACGACTCAATTAACCCGAACCTTTATACTATTGACAATTTTCATCCACCCATTACAAGACACAGAGACAGACACGGAGGAGGCACGGCAGTATACATTCACAGCTCACTTACATTTTCCAGGATTTCCTCACTCGAATTGCCTGGTGAAGAGTAGATTTGGATAAAAATAAAAACAAAAGACTCTACATTTTTACTGTGCTCAATCTATCTCCCACCCAATATTACAGCACATCGACAAGAAGAGTTTATAGACAGACTAACCGACAGTGTGACTCGTGCACATCTCTACTCCCAAAATGTATTATTGACAGGCGACTTAAATGTTGGCAACCTATTCCTCCCTCCAGATACCTATCAACATAGTGGACTGACAGCTTTCGACCGAAAATTAAGAGACGCAACTGACACCATTGGACTAACGCAACTCATCGACCAACCTACGCGCATTGAAAATGACACATACAACCTACGAGACCTCTTTTTTACATCCAATACTAAATTTATCATTGATAGCGGACTTCTCTCTTCATTTTCAACACTTGACCACTTTCCTGTATTTGTGACGCTATCAATCCAGGGAGAAAGGAATGATGACAAATATGTAACCGAGTACTGGGACTATGCAAATACAGACGCCGATAAATTAACACACATTTTACAACAAACAGACTGGACAACAATTCTTAACAAGGACACTGATGACGCAGCGACTGATTTTACTAACCGTATAATTGACGCAGCCAAAGAGTGCATACCGATAAAACAAAGCAAACGAAGACATGACAAACCTTGGGTGACACCAGAACTTTTGAAGGAAATTAGGAAACGTGAACGTTTATTTAATGCTGCCCGAAAACGAAAAACCGACAAACAAGCGTGGGTAAAATGGAAAACCCAACGCAACTTCGTGACAAATTTGAATAGACAACTTTACGACGAACATGTAAAAAATAAAGTATCACTTCTACTTCAGAACAAACACGACCCTCACAAATATCATAAAATTTTAAGAGACATAACAGGTCATAAACAAAACCATTCCATACCGACACTCATACAACACGATGGCACAACAGCGACAACTGACACTGACAAAGCCACCATGCTGAATACATACTTTGCCTCACAAACACAACTTGACATCACAAACGCACACATTGCACAGCTTCAAACATACACAGCAAGAAACACTGAACCAGTACCCACTCTCAGCAGCATTGACATCACCCCTGGTGAAGTCCTTCGAACCCTGAACAGCTTAGACGCTAATAAAGCTTGTGGTTCAGACAGATTGCCTACGAAAATTTTAAAAATGACAGCATTACTGATTTACGAACCTTTGACACAACTTTTTAACAAATCTCTCACCACCGGAATATACCCCACATCTTGGAAAAAGGCTAAAGTTCGACCAATATTTAAGCGAAAGGGAACTCCGTCTGAATTAAATAATTATCGCCCAATCAGTTTACTTCCGTGCATATCAAAAGTTTTTGAGAAAAATTATATTCGCTCATATATATCAACACATTACTGAATTTTCGCTTCTAACCGACAGACAAAGTGGATACCGACCAGGACACAACACTCAACTGCAACTTACATACATGACAGACTTACTGTACAAATCTCTCGACAACGGACGCGACTTCACCACAATATACTTAGACATTTCTCGATATTTTGAAAAGATTTGGCACAAGGGTCTTCTTATTAAGTGTAAAAAGGAGTTTGGAATAACGGACAACTTACTGACGTGGCTTGAATCTTATCTGACGGACCGACAGCAGACAGTTGACATTAATAATATTACATCACAGACACTGACACTTGACGCTGGGGTACCGCAAGGATCGGTTTTAGGGCCACTTCTGGCGATTTTATATTTAAACGGACTATGTGACAAAACCACAAACAAAATGCTTTTTTATGCCGATGACTGTTCTTTATACTCGTCTTACTCTCCAACTGACAACTTTCAGGACGCACAAACGACACTACAGAAAGACCTAGACATCATACACAACTACGGACAAACATGGGCTATAACATTCAATGCAACGAAAACCACACAACAAACTTTCTCACATCGACAACAAACTAATCGACCAACCCTTACTTTCGGCGGTAACCCCATTCCAATAGTAAATGACCATAAACATCTCGGCCTCACACTATCCACAGATCTACGCTTTCACACACACATTAATGACGTCCTTCTAAAATTTAATCGTTCTATGGGCCCTTTATACCCAATAGCAAAACACATACCTAAAGGAATGCTTCTATCTCTCTATATTACTTACGTTCAACCTTTCCTCGACTATTGTGACATCACTTACGACGGACACATCACAACGACTGACGGCATGCGACTAGAAAAAGCACAAAACAGAGCAGCACGACTGATCACTGGGACTGGACTTCGGACATCGACTAACGGACTGCGACGAGAACTAGGATGGACTTCTTTGACCGACAGACGGAAAATCCACAAACTTCAGTTTTATCACAAATTAATATTCAATCCTATAGTTCCCGAATTTATTAAGACCATTATTCCTAACACAAGACAGCAAAACACAACACGAACTTTACGAAATATTTCAGCTCAAACAATACCATTGGCCAGAACCACATCCTATCACCGATCCTTCGTCCCATCCTCTACATGCCTCTGGAACACATTGCCCGAACATCTACGCACAAACAATAACTACTTTACCTTTAAAAAAACACCTAAAAGAACTGATTACACAACCCCGTCCACCTCTGTATTATTTCCTAGGCACAAAAACAGGCAACATTTTACACACAAAACTACGACTGAATACTTCAAAACTTAATGCTCATCTTTTCTCCACACAACAAGCTAATTCACCCTCTTGCACTTGCGGCTATAATTCTGAGAACACAAAACATTTCCTACTTTCCTGTCCACTTTATCATACTCAGCGAAACATTCTTTACAACACCGTGTCGCCCGTCATCCGCACTGACTTTTCCACTCTCCCTTCCTCCAAACAACTCGACATCCTTATCCACGGTACAGACCTGAGTCGTGAGGAGAGCCGTGTGGTTGCCACCGCTGTCCAATCCTTCATCATCCATACCCATCGCTTATAAAATACAACATCCCAGTCCCAATCCTCACCACTACCGTGGTCGGACGAGTGGGCGCGGTGCGGGGCAGCCTTGCAGTGCCGCCGGGGTCGTGGAGCGTTACCGGGCTTGGGCGGTCCGGTCGATCGACGATCACTTTGACATGTTTTGCAACATAAATGTTTTTATTCCGTTCTTCTTGTTTCATTGTGTTTCATCATTATTATTGTTGCTAAATACGTTAAGTACTTCTCGTTTAGCAAGCGGCGCCATGATTTAAGTGCGTAGCACTTTTGCGCCAATTGCATACTTTATTTGTTATATTCATATGTTTGTTATTGAATAAATGGTCTCTCTCTCTCTCTCTCCCAGACTGGTCAGTAAACTGTCCCCTTTGTCGCCGGTCGGCCAGCCCAGCCGATGACCGAGCCATGACAGTGGCCGGCCGCTGCCGCCGGAGGGCTATTTTCGGGGTCGGGTGGGTCGGAGCGGCCGGGCGCGGTGCGGGCGGCGCCCTGTCAGACGCCGAGTGGCCGGGGCAGGGGCGAGCGGGCTCGGGACCGGGACTCACCTGAGGGGACAGAGAGCTGACAGAGGGTCACCCGCGCACCACCATGGGCGATACAGAGACCATCGTCTGCGGCAACTGGTGAGTGACTGTGGGCAGTGGAACGGCAGTGGATGCAGCTATACTTGGTCAATTTGCTCTAGCTTACGCTTATATTCATCAAAACCCTTTACTTTACATGTTTCCTGACTTAAGGACTTTGGAGCCACCATGCATTAGCAAGAATGTCACAAAATGTTGCCAAGAACCAAAAGGACGTAGCGAATAAAATTCATAAATGAATAACAAATCTTACAAGATTTATTCTGGTTTGTCAACGTTTATTGTGTCTTTCATACTTACTTATACTTATACTTATAAAATGCGGAATTTAGGAAGGCCTTTTGGCCTCTTGGATCCGGACGTGACGAGCTTTGTGTCAGTGTGTCACTGCATCAGTCGTTGGAATGTATGGTGTACTTGGCGTGAGCCCAGTGTTCGTCTTTCATCCAGTAAATGGCGTGCAGTTTTAAATGTTCTTCATTATACGCGCTTGTTATTCGAAACATTCATATGCGTTATCTGGACGGATCCCAAACAACCAGGAGCGCACCTGTTCCGTAACACCAGACCCGGAAGTGCATGTGTGTCTGTGTGTGTGCGTGTGCGTGCGTCAGTCGGACCGCTCTCATTGGCCGGCTGATGGGCCGCCGGTGGCTCTATGCGTGTGCCAAGTCTGAAGATAGCCGCGCCGGGTGCCGGAACTGTGCAGGTGGCTCACACAGCCCACCGAGGAGCGACCAGGGCAGCCGCCGCGCCAGGCCGGCAGTGCGGGTAAACGGATAGGGCTGGCTGGTGTAACGGACACTGGACAGGGACTGGCTGTGAGTACTGGCAGATACTTATTGTTATACGGGCAAGGGTGACTGTTGCGGGGTATGGGTGTCAAGCGAATGTGTTTGTGGCTATATTGAAGCATATGAGATGTAGTTAACTGAAGCATAGCAAATTGCTTCTCTTGGCTTATGCGTGCACAATCGAGGAAGCTTAGTAGTCGGACTTAACCAGAACCGGGCCATCCACTAAACCCTGGAGGTGTGCCAGCCAGCGACACCGTCCCGCCCGTCCACTGAGGCGCTGTTTAACACAAATTACTGTAATTATCACGCTACCAGATAGTCCAGAGCGCCCACGAGCCGGTAATTTAGAGGAACATGTTATAAGCCCTGAGAAAAATGTTAGCATTTTTAGCCAATTTTGGCTTATTGAATCGAATATAAATGTTCTTAAGGTGATTTAGCTTATTCTTATTTTTCTCACACTATCGTAATGGGCAATTAAGGCCAAAACAGTGTTGTCTATATTATCATCAGCTTGAGTTTGATTAAGAAACAGGTCAGTTGGTTAAATATTAGCACTAATCGCTGTGGTAACAGTGCTGTATATTATTGGTAACAGTCGCGGCTAGTAACAGTTTGGTAAATTATCGATGGTCGCCGCGGTAGCAACGGTGTCAGATGATGCAACACCCAGACGGGGAAGGGGGCGGGGTCCGGCGCCGGGTACGGGGGAGGGGCGGGGGTGGCTGTTCCTTCTCCCTGACAGGCGGGCGGCCGAGCCAACCGGGCGCCGACCGCCGCGCCTGTCTGTCGCCGAGTCTCCGGGACCGGACCGGCCGACCCGCCGCTCAGTAACAGCTGTTCGGTCTGCCTGTGTAGATTATGGGGCCCGTTGCTGTTTCTCCACTCGTACATACGTAGATGATTGAATAAAGTTTGGCACGTTTGACAAATAAGTCGGTTATATGTCCAGGGAAGCACGCGTTTCGTCCAGCATACTATTGATATAAAAGATATCATTGACAGATATAAATGGTGGATACCTATAAAAAAAAATGTTGTCTCTAAGCGTTGAGCCAAAGCTTACGAATTTGATTACCAAATGAGAGACAATAAAGCATAAATAGATAATTTGTTTAACATAACTAACTGTCACAGCCCAAGTCTACACAGTACACACACATTTACCGGCTCGCATGCAACACAAAATGGCTGCCGTGGGGGACTCACAAACTGTAGGTCAAGTCGGAGGTCTCCCAAATATACCCTGAGTCTGAAAGCCCTGACGCTGATCATGGGACCAGCACGCGTCCGATCTAGTCAGCGGAACTACCCGGTGCGTCGCATTTGTCGCCCGGTGGGTCACATTCGGCGCCGTCGCTGCGCTGACGTCACTGCAGGGGGCGTCACACATGTATACCGGTATGTGACGCCTGTGGATATGGTGTCGCCGTGACGTCACTGGCCCTGACCCAGCGCTGTTTGCGATGATAAACTGAGGAGGTCATGGTTTGAGATTTGCCGAATTTATTGTTTTTCCTTTCTTAGAAGAAATGCTAAAGAATGTATAAATTGATGTTTTGTGGCAAGAGTAGCGTAAAAACGTCTTTGCTAAAAAAGAAATAAAGCAATAACAAGCCACTCTCGAGTAAAACTGCAAATGTTGACAAGACGACGAAAGGATGACTTATACAGAATCAGACAAGCACGTCGCAGCACGTTCCTTACCTGTATAGCCTTGTGTCGGTGTAATTAGGAGCACCAGTGTCCGGTCAGCTGGTGACACTGGCACCGTGCCCGCTGTGGGAGGGGGGACTCTGGGGGACAGCCGAGTGGGCCAGCCCGTCCGCCTGCGCACCCCTCCAAGGCTGTCCTGTCAAGGCCGCCCCGACCTGCCGACGGCTGGATGGGCGCGTTCCGGGTCAGCGAGCCGTGTCAACTCACGTGTCGGAATGTATATCACTGGGTCAGCGGAGCAGCGCGCAATTAATTCCATCCGGGCCATCATAGCTCCATTTAATCAAATGCAGCTTCATTCTTCATAATCATATTCTGTTCTATCTGAAACAAAATAAATCATCTTCTTTGGAACGCACAGCCGTTATTCTTTGGGATAAACCGATGTAAGAATGAAACCGGAAGGTAAAAATGTTTTACATTTCAGTGCACCGATGTGCAGATTTGTAAAAATAATCCTTCTTCAAAAGACGAGTCTGTGTGTAGGCGGGCCTGCTCAACAGACGCATACATCGGACGGATGATAAATTAACCCCTCCAGCTGCGCAGAAGGTCCGTTTGTTCCGGATTTTAGGAGCACTTTGGCGTGTGTCCAGAGCGGCACTGGTCCTCGCGGCCCGTGCCGCCATCTGGTCTATACGGGCCAGGTCGGAGACATCCCTCCGGCCTCGACCTGAGCCGACCGAGACGCCGAGGCGGTCCCATTTAACCGTCTGTGACGTCACCGGGCAGCGGCGTCGGCTGTCGGTGACGTCATGTGAGGGTCTCTGTCTCGTGCGGCTGTCAGATTCTGCGAACTCGGCGCCGTGCCGGACCTAGGGTCGCCAATGTTTATCGACAGATCATTTACCGGCCAACAAAGAACAGTGAGACACACAAATGCCGCACAGAACTGGTAGTTATAATTACTCTGGCAAAAGCAATTGGTTTCCAGAAACGGTATCGTGTTGATTATCTAAGTAAACAGTTAAGAAGAAACCGACTTGTAAGGCCTAAGCATATGCTATACCTACAATTCTTTGGTGACTTTCGCGCACCTGAACTTCATTGCCCTCATCGAAAAAATAAGATCGTCGGACGATGTCGTAGATGGGGCCAGCCGACGGTTCCAGTACACTCTGCCAGCGGCTGCACCAGTCGGCCCCCGGAGCGGCCCGACAGGTGCGTCACTGCAGCGCTGGCCGCCCGGCCGACCGGTCTGTCCCTCAGCACCTCTAACCGTGTCCCGTCTATCCCTCAGCCAGCGGGCGATATCAGCCGCTAACCACACCGTGCACGTGAGCCACTGCCGGCGCCACCTCAGCGTGTGTGCCGAGTGCGGTGAGGCCGTGCCGCGGGACCGGCTGGAGGAGCACCGTGCCGCCGAGCACCGGCCCGTGCCGTGCCGCCTCTGCGGGCTGCAAGTGCCCGCCGGGCAGATGGAAACGCACCAGGTGAGGGACTGGGGGATAGAGACCGGGCGAGGGACATTCAACGGGTGGACGGATCTGGGGAAATTTGCAACATGTAGCTTTGCAAAGCTTGTTATTTATCCATGGATATATAACAAAAGGTACGTACATGGCCAGTGACTTTCTTTACGAAGATTTCCATATGCCCTCTCATGGACGATTCCCGGAAATCGGTCGTATGTCTGCGCTAGTGATAGGAGGAGATGACCATTCACTTTGTACACGGCTGTACGATAAGGGTACAGAATCAGGAGCATGAGCAGTTGCCTTTGGAACCTCATCAAACATCGGTTTCTACAGCACCTATACGGACCGACTCCTTCTATCATCACCTCGGGTCAGTCACGTGCTCCCGTCCCTTCCTGCCCCCACAGCATGGGCTCGGTCTTTGTCTGCCGCTGAGGCGCAGATGTCCGTCCCAGTTCCGACGCCACAGAGTCTGGCACGCTGGATGGGACACGTAGGCAGAGTTACAGAGCTACGACCCATGACCTGTCCGGGAAAAGGGCCACAGCTGAGGCGCCGCTCTGTGATTGCGGCACGCTGCACCGGGCGCTTTGTTTGCTCAACTATTCGTGGAAATAGTTGCTCTGTCTCGCTCCTGAGTAAACACCTTTCAAAGCATTCGGAACTATTATGAGATGTTTAGATGTAGGCCTCGAATTCGTATTTTAAATGTTTGCTCTTTTCCAATACTGCCGGTCGTATAATTATTCAAACTCCAAATAAATGCCATTTGAATCTTTTTACGTTTAAAAGAATGCCCGAACAGCGGACAAAACATCGACATTTTTTGCGCTGTGTGCCGTCAGGAGGAGCGGTGTTCGGGCCGCGCCGTCACCTGCCCCTACTGCGAGCTGAGTATGCCACACTCGTCTCTGGAGGAGCACGAGAGCTACTGCGGCTCGCGCACTGAGCTGTGTCCCACGTGTCAGGTGCGCGTCATGTACCGGCACTGGCCGCTGCACGTGGAGTCGGGCCACAGGCTGACCCGACCCGAGACGGACCCTGGACACACGCCCAAAGGTAAATACATTAGCCTTCCTCAATCCTCTCTGATGTTGGTTGACAGCTGCATGTAATGTAACCAGACAGGGACGACAGTGTTGTAAAACTTCGCGAGTGACGCAGATTGCTTACGAGCTGTTTCTTCCTTTCGTCTATCGCTATTGCAAAGTGTGTTGAATGCTAAGGCAGGGCATTTATTCCTGTAATCGCTCGCCTATTCAATACAACTGAAATTACGGTTGGACTACAACCCAACCCCCCACCCGGGAAGGTACGAATGTATTTAAAAAGACTGCTGCTTTGGCTTCCGACCGTTCGAGTTATATGTTGCACTTGGCTGCGCCTCAGTTTTGCAGACTGCTCTGAGAGATGAACTATTTTACGAGTGCGGGAAGTGGCTGGGACAGGTGCACGGCTCTGCTGTGGCCCATTAATGACACGACACGCGCCCTGTGGCAGCGCGCGGAGGTCGGCGCCCCGCCGCTCCCCTCGATGACGCGCTGGACGACGGCGGCGCGCTCGACGATAAAATCGCCTCCTATGTGCGCAAACCTGTGGACGAAATTGTGGAGGACACCATGGAACAGTGGCGCCGGCGCAAGGACCTGCGCCGGTTCGAGGGTGGGCGCCGAGTGGCATGTCCGTGCCCGTGCCCGTGTCCGTGTCCGTGTCTGTGTCCGTGTCCGTGTCACTCACAGTGCCCGGGAAGGGCGTTCCGAGCGCGTTTGGTAGTAGCTGCTCGTCTCGGAATCGGAACCGGAACCGTCTAACTCCAGCACATTTTTGGGACAATGGCGGCTCTGAGACACCGCGCAGGTCCCACCAGTGCAGTGTTCCGAGTGTCCCACCTTTGCCCAGTCGTTCCCAGTGCACGGTCTATATTATGACCTGGGACTCAGTCATGCCAGCCTGCGCACGTTTGATCAACGAGACTGATAATTACCTATTACCTAACTCATCGTTCGATATTTGTCTTGTTGATGTACCCGGCACCCTTGGTTCAGTTGATGGACGTTTATACGACAGGACTGATCGTTCAGCACTGTTCTGTCCCTAAAACAGTCACATATCTTGTTTTACTGGTATCCAACGACGCTATCTTTTAGGCCAAACCACATTAAATGGCTTACCGGTCGGTTCCTTCTGGATCTGACGGCATGGACAGCCGATATAACTACGTTTTCTTTCTTATTTCCTTCACATTTCAATGGGTATACTAAAGTAACTGCTATAAGCCGTTTATGTATGGTGAACCTTTGTCTGATTTGTGTCTGCCATGCGTTTCAGACGACTGTTTTGAACAGGCCATGCTGATGGCTATTGAGCTCTCCAAGAAGACGGCCACAGAGAGTAACACGGTCGAGTGTGAGCACTGCCACCTCCGGTTCCCGGCAGACGAGCTGAGGAGACACCAGGTGAGCCATTAAAAGCAGTGACCTCACTGGCCCACAGCTGAATTATTACACCGTGAGTTGGACCGGGGCAGGTCAACTGGGGTTGTTAACGTCACTTGAATGATAAGCACGGCTGAACTGAAATCGCCACATGCTGAAGGCTGATGTCGTAAGCTAATCGGTGGACCTGGAGACTGAGTCTACAATCTAAAAGATGTGGTCTGCTGTTTTCCATCGATAATTAGTGCTAAAAAGACCCCAGGGCCGCACGGATTAGAGACGGCGTGGGTTGTGCCAAGATGTCGGCCGACTGAGGACAGGAGACGCGGCCTTGATCCGCGGCCAAACGGCCGGTGTGTGCGGCTGGATCCGAGCTGGTGGTCCCCCTGACAGTGGCTGGACTAAAAACCTCGGCAGTATATCGCTCAGTTTTGGAACACACGGCAGCTCATCACCCGCACTAAAACCGATCACCGATCACGTGATCAGCTGCCAGTGACGTCATGAGCGCAGCATGGGTGTCGTTTTTATAGGCCTGGCAGGGCCCTGGCTTATTAGTAGGGTCCGAGCTATGCAAATAGTTTGGCCATTTTAACATGGGCCCCTTGGTAAGGGTAGCTTTGGTACCCTAAAATTAACCATTAGAGCCATAACAATACAATTTGGAAAGTAACGTCTGTGTGTTGCACTACACGGTTACGTTGCATGTCACGGGTATCTGCTCTAATTGGTAATTTGTTGCGTGTCATTTAAATCGTAAAAAAGCGTGACATCAGTCTATGCTTGGTGTCCCATATGCATTGCTTCAGTGCGTCCCAACTGTAGCATAATTGTACGTGATTAAAGGGCACCATAATGCAGATAAATGTGACCCTTTACATGGTTTGCTGACATGAACATTTGCGTGGTGGACTGAAACATGACAGCTCCCGTACTTATAACATGTATACCTGCGAACTCATGACACGATTCCAAGCGTGTAAGCTGTGCATATGACCGAGCGACTTTGTAAAGCTAACCCATCCGTAGCCTGTCATGACCTGACAGAACTTTTCTACCTGTGACCTCCCACATGGCTCCTCCAGCTGTGACCTCTGACCTGTGACCTCTACATACAGAGCTCTGTTCTCTGACCTGTGTCATCCCACAGAGCTCTGACCTCTGACCGCTGATCTATGACTTCCCAAGATCCTGATCTCTGACCTCCACAGAGCTCTGACCTCTGACCTGTGACCTGTGACCTCCCACAGAGCTCCTGCAGCTGGGAGCAGCGCCGGCGACAGGAGTCGTCCCGCGGTCGCTCTCAGGGCTCGGCCGGCTCGGTGGGTCGTGATTCCTCCCCGCCGCGCTGGGCGGCCCACCCGGTGGCCGATGACCCCCCGGAGGACGCCATCACCCTGCCCTGCGAGTTCTGCGAGCAGGCCTTCCTGGACGCCGACCTGCTGCGGCACCAGGTCAGTCAGAGGTCACGGCAGGGTCAGAGGTCAGAGACTGTGACCTGTGTGTCAGGCGGAGCGGAGGATCACTCAACGGTCACAAGAGGAAAGGCTTTGGTCTCTTACCCCGTTTCTAGTAACCGGCTGTGCTATATGTCAACTTGCATACTTTTCTATTTTCTCAATTGCCAAAGATGTAAATCTCTATCGCAACTTTCTTCCCGATATATACCGATCGACCGAGAAACATGGGCGTGTGTGGGCGTGCCCGGGCCGTATCGCGGCGCTTTAATGATAGCGGAACCGGTGCCGAGACGTCAGCCAAGGCCGATGACGTCAAAGGATCCAAACACGGTCCCGGGCCGCGCGGGGTAAAATTAGCGTCTCGGCGCTGCACGGGCTGATCCGGGACCACACCCGCGGAGACGGGAAGCCGAACGATATATGCATGTGAACACTCACGTCAGGTTTAGGAATTCGTGAAGTTAGTCATAGCGTGTCGTCGAGTGATTGATGTTTACCAATCTGGGCTGAATCAGCTGTTTGAATTATCCCAGCCTGAACAGTCAACACAGATGGGGTGCGGCGGTGTGAAAGTTTTCATTTACCCGATGGTGGTTTTCTCAGCTGGGTAGGTAGTTTTACGGTAGATGGGCCTCATCTGACTGAACGGGTTACCATGGAAACGACCGCACAGAACAGTAACTTCCGGGATAGAAAGGACATAGCTACGTGCCTACTCCGGTTCCTGGAACTACAAATGATTCGCTGGCAACCAGGAACCGTCTGATCAGAAGACAAACATGTTTGTCTTCTGATGTTTGTCAAAAGAAAACATTCACGGAGACTAGTGCACTAGTCTCCGTGAATGTTTTCTTTTGAAACCCGAACTGCTGTTGTGTGAGGTTCGCTATTTTATCACACAAAACGCTACAGCTGCCGACCAACTTCGTTCGCCAATAGCAGGGCTGTGCTTACGTGGCTCGATAGTTTTTCTCTTCACACGCTAGTTGTGGAACGTTCATTACGGAGCATTTTAGTAGGGCCAATCGCAAGCTGAGTGATATTGGTATCGTATGTTATACTTCAATTTTGATTGCTTATTTACGTCACATATCTGCATTTCAACGGTTATAACAACGAAAATTGAAGTAAGTATTTAATGCTTTCACTTTGAGCTAAATATAACACACTTCAAAATGAAAACAACATAGGAAAATGACATGACGTTGATGTTGACTCCGTCCTCTCGCCCCATCAGCTGCGCTGTGAGAAGAACCCCCAGCGGCTAGACCTGCCGGCGCGGCGCGCTCCCGCCCCCCGGCCCGGCGGCCTGACCAAGTCCTGGAGCGCCTCGCAGGCCGACCGGGAGCCGCGCCAGGAGCCGGAGCCGGAGCCGGCCGGCAGTAGCCGCTGGCGGCAGCCGGAGGTCGGCTCCCGCCGGCAGGAGCCGGAGTCCGGCTGGCGGCAGCGTCTCAGCGGGGACCTGGACGGAGCCCTGGCGCGGCCGGCTATGGCCGGCGGCCGCCGCGGCTCCCGGTCCAGCGACGACCTCTTCTCGATGGACCGGCACAGTCCGCCGCGCCGCTGGAGCGTGCTGACCGACCCGGAGCTCACGGCGCCGCCCGCCGTGCCGCAGCGCACCACCAAACACAAGAAGAAGGTCAACTTCCTCGGGGAGGACGAGTTCATTCATCCTGTGCCAGGTGGGCCGGCGCCGAATGTCGCTGGGCTATAGTAGTTACGAGCGAGCGAGCGCAGCGAGCGAAGTGAGTCTTTTCAATATAACGGAAAAATCTCAGTATGAGCGGCCCGGCCCGGCCCGGCCCGGCCCGGCCCGGCCTGTAACGCTTTTGAGAGGCTTATATCTCAGCAACCGCTGGACCGATTGGCCTGCGGTCTTTTTTGTTGGGTAGCCCAATCCCTTCTACCCCGTAATTGACTAATTTTGATACATCTCAGTGACCGTCGTGGCACGTGCCACGTGAAAAGTCAAGGGTGTTCAAGCTGTTTTGCAAAAGTAGTGATTTTGAGAGGCTCATATCTCAGCAGCCGCTTGGGCGATTGACTTCCGGTAATTTTTGTAGGGTAGCAGCATCCCTTCTACCCAAAATAGGATACTCTCGAAGCATGTGGGTCACCCCCAGTGCACGTGCAAAATACAACAATAAGAGGTGCCAAATTTGTTCCCATTTCAGTAACTCGGTAATTACTGGGGCGATTTCGCTGAAACTTGGCATACAGGTAGGCACCCACCAGGCAATGCATTCCCATGTGTTGCGGTTAGGGTGCTACTGCACGTGCGCACGTGCAGGGGGCGTTTCCAGATCTCGAGAACGGCTGGGCCGATTGCGCTCAAATTCGGTACACGGTTGGGGACCAGTTAGTAGGGTGCCGTGCAAAAGTCATTTTGGACCCCGTTTGCACGTGCGCACGTGCAGAATGCCGCTTCCAGATCTCAGGAACGGCTGGGCCGATTGCGTTCAAATTTGGCACACCGCTAGCGACCGGTTAGAAGGGTGCTTTGCACAAGCCTGTTGGAAGTACCCTCTCGCCCTTCCGCACGTGCAGGGCTCACTATCTCGCTCGCTCGTTCTTCGCCCAAAAGGCGTTTTACTGGTGTTATCCAGTTTTATCATCCAGGGGACGCTTACGCATTCTAAGCTACAAAAAACTGTCTTAGCTGCAGTTTATCTTAATGTTCTGTTTACCACATGATCGGTATCTTTATAGTACCTAATTAAGCTTTAATCATTTCACAGAACATCCTGCCGAGGTGGCCGACGGCGATAAAAAGAAGAAACGTAGCAAAGAAGAAAAGAAACAAAGGAAGGAGGAGAAAAAGCTCAAGGTATGTCCGCACGAACCGAGTGGCCAAATTACGCGATTAATCCAGCAGCTTTCTTCTGACACAGTTTATGTATTTTGAACAACAGCACAACTCCCAAAGCACATCCGTAATGGTCTGAGCCTGGCAGAAAGTCGGGCATAATACAGCAGCATAATTGATCATAATTTTGGCTAATACCGGAAGCTTGAAGTTTGTTTTCGCAAAATGCACACTTGAACTAGTACCCCACTACAAAGTCGATGATTGCTGTGATTCTTACCAGCGAAGTTATAAATGTCACAACTCATAAGTAGGTACATATCTTATGGCTGCTTTGATTTTAAACGGTGCGTTTTGTTTCAGAAACGTTCGTCTAAGAAGCACCGGGCACCGGAGCCTCCTGGCGAGCCTGTGATCACCTGTGACTACTGAGGATTGGGTGTGCCTGTCGTTGTTTGGAGTAACGTCACGTTTCGTCACGGACCTTAGTGACCTGCGAGCGGTAACCGTGTGCCGAGGGCTCGAAACCATCGGCCTGTTATTAATTTGGCCGCTGCTGAAGCATGACATGCCAATAAGTGGCCTAGAGCCATGGGCTAGAACTGATTTTGATTTGTCGGAACTTACGACAGTGCTGACGGACTTGTGACCAAAGAAGTCTCGGCTGACCGTTTCTGTATACTTTGTTATAGCGCCGTGCTTGTGGTGCCGAGGCTGACGGTTTTATTGCGCTCCTTAGGCACTTGGCGACCAGAGACCGTGGTGAGCCGGCTTATGCAATATTTATGCATGGTCGTACGAATATCGACGGCCGCCGTGTAACGCACTACGACTCGTTCGTATTGCTAGAGATCTAACAATCGTTTTTTTCAAGTATTGGTATCACATACTTTGCATATCCCTCTCTCGTTGCCTACTTTTACTTTAGTTTATTTTTAGCTCTTTTACCCTCACCCTTTTTCTAAATGATGTTCTGTATTTCATACGTTATATCCTAATTAACTTTGTTTTTCAGCTAAATAGTACCTAACCTTTAACATATGAAGGGTAAAAAAGTGTTGCACCCATGGGACTTTGGCACATACCGTGTGATTGTGAAGCTGGCGGTAAGGCTATCATCGCCTTTTGTGTTTGGTGTGCTGATCCAAATCGCAATCGAGATAATTATCTGCAATTTGGTTTGCTCGCAGTCGGCAGTATATGGGTTATAACTTTAGAGCCTTGGTTATAACCACGGGCGGCTATCTATGCGTCTGTGGTTATACGATATTGTCTAATGTAAACTGCCTTTTGTTATTTTGTATCTCACATTCATATCGTGGATATCAAATGTTCAGTCTGACTCTGATGAATCTGCCCCTTACAACAGGAGTATTGACAACCCGATTGTTACGATATTTGTCTAAGATATTAATGACCATGAAGTGCCGACATGTTCTAGGAATATGACAGCTTCCAGCAGTGCTAATGAAGACATGAGTGGACATAAATGTTCGTACTTAGATGAACATGATACGTGATTGCATAATGCTTATCTCACCTAGGTATATTAGGGGGTAGAATGAGCGCCACTGAGTGATATACGACAGTGCAGTTGCGGCTTGGTGGATGAATGTTACGGCTTGGTAGGTGAATGAGTACTTGAAAGTTCGACTTGTTTGTCAATAAATAAAGTGATTAGAAATGTCAGAAGTCTTTTAGAACATTTGCGTGTAATATAAAGAGACACTTTTGTCTAACAAGGTAAATGAGACAATTTACGTAATAATTGGCGTATCTGGGCGCCGCAGTTATATGTATTATTCATTCATAAGTCACGATCATTAAGATATATCGATTCCACTATACTATACCACAAATGCGGGTGCACCCGGGCCGCAGCGCGATTGGTTGCCACTGGATGGACACTTTCGGATGCGAATAAAGTCACAGTTTTCGGGCACCGTTTTACAATATACATTTCGGCTGCTCTTTCTGGTCTGATCATCCTTATCGTTTGTCTGCCGCGCATCTAAACCCTGGTGGACCAGCCCAGCCCTACCCTTGCAGCGCCTCCAGTCGCTGGTGAAGCCGGTCTATGACCGCACCCAGTCGCCCAAACTCGGTTTGTCGTACATCTTCCTCTCTCACGTCCAGCTGCAGCAGTCGCTCAATCTGCCTCAGCTTCTGCTCGTCCTGGCCGTCGTCCGGTGGGTTCTCTGAAAGATGATCGTATGGCTGACCGTGCAGCCAGTCTAGCTTCTGTAGCTGCTGCTGTGGCTGTAGCTGCTGTTGGTGTTCCTCTCCAGACACCATCTCCGCACTTAGATGAGTGCCACCCTGCTCTTGAGGTACCGCTGGAAGAGCGTCCTCTTGATCCTGAGACGCCGCCGGAAGAACAGCCTCCTGATTGGAGAAGGTCGTTGATGGATCGACCTCCTGTCCTAAGGCTTCTCCTGAGGGAGCTTCCTCCTGCTTCGGGTGTGCTGCTGAGAAGGAATTTTCCTGAGACAAATCTGACAGAGCACCCTCCTGCTCCAGAGCCACCGCTGTGGAGGCACCTTCCTGTTCCAAAGTAACTGCTGAGGTGATGTTCTGCTTCTGGGACATTTCTGATGGACCATATTCATCCCATGACGTTTCTGATATAGCGGCCTCCTGCTGCACTGTCTCCGCTGAGAATCTGCCTTCCCTCTCCCACCAGTCCTCTGTGAGGACCTCCTCCGTGTCTAGGTGCGCGCCCTGTGGCGTGTAGAGGCCGTGCTGGTGCGGATGGAGCGCGTACCTCTCCACAAAGCGCTCCGGGTCCCTGCCGAGGCTGACTGCGTGCCAGTGGGCGCGGATCAGGTCGGCCGCCTTCTCCCCGATCATGATGGTCGGTGCCATCGTGTTGCCGGACGTGATGCGCGGCATCACGGAGGCATCCACCACGCGCAGACCAGAGATCCCGTACACCCTGTGGACAGACAGGGCAAGGTTACGAGCACAGCACTCCAGAAAATCTGCCTCATCGATCTGGTGGAACATAACTCGCTGAACATCTGCAGTACGAGTATAGCAGCTAGCTGATGGGAAGTCCGGGCTTTCCCAGCGGATCGGTGTCCTCACCTCAGCTGGTTGTCCACCACGGCGGCCAGGTCGGAGGCCGGCCCCATGGCGCACGTGCTCGTCTCGTGCCAGATGGTCTCTGCGAACACGCGGATGGAGCAGTCCCACCAGTCGGGCCCGCCGCGCGGGTGCAGGTGGCAGTAGGGGTTGGGGGCCGGCTGCAGGCGGCCGCCCACCCGGCGGAACGGAGCAGAGAGGCCGAGCCGCTCGGCCAGCCGACCGCCCTCGCGCAGCACGGCCAGGTCGCGCGGGTCGTCGAACAGGTTCAGGAAGATGTCCGGGTGCTGCCAGGGGTTCCGCGAGCGCAGCACCACCCGGCCGCGGCTCCGCGGGTGCAGCATCACCGGAACAATCCGGTATCCCGGCTTGAACTTGGCTGGCTTGAACCGCTTTATCCATAACTAAAGGGATAACGTAAATAATGTTCACTGACGCTGACATTTATAAAGCTCGCCTTCACACATCTCGTTTTTTTTTTCCTAAAAAATGTCACTTGAAAGAAAACAATCGATGGCGACGTAGCTATTGGCAAGTAATGTTAGGCAAAACATCTCAATACTGTCTAAGCCATGAAAAATTAAATGGCACATTCGCTTTCACGTGGGCTTTGCAGGCTAGACCGAAGTGTCTCCAGCACCTTTTCCGACATGCCGAGGATGATCCTGAACAGAAGGCCGCCGTCGGTGGCCAGGTGGAGCGGGTAGAACAGGAACTGCAGGTCCGGCCAGTCTGAGCTGACGGACGTGTTGTCCACACCCGAGTGCGCGAACCCGGTGCCCTCCAGCAGCAGGTACGATGCCAGAGGACCTGCAGAAGTGGCGGCGGGTGGTCTAGGCTGAGATGTGTTTTAAACGGTTGACGAAACATGCACTTGTGTCGATTTGATCATGCTCATGGAGGTAAATAGATACCCGAGGTTCAGACTTATCATGTGTTATTTCTATTTGACCTGATTCAATATCTACGCGCGTACGATTATAACATCCTCTGCACTTACCGGTTCTGTGCTTCACATAATTGTGCAGCGATTTCAGGTTGATGAAATGTGCCAGCGTCAGGCCAGGCTTTTTCTTTGTTAGGAAGTCGATTCCTCCGATGCCGAAGTGGCTCTGCATGTTCTCACCGACTCCGGGCAGATCGTGAATGCAAGGGATCTGTCAGCAGTTCGTCAGCGTTGTCTAGCAGCTCCATAGAAAACAAAAGGAGCAGCTCAATAGGATTTCCATTCACAACTACGAACAATCACCTTGCATTCACCCAGCTCCATGGTCGCCGCCACCTACCCCGTGTTTCCGCAGCTCCGCGCAGGGCCCGACGCCTGACAGTTTGAGCAGCTGCGGCGACGCGAACGCGCCGGCGCTGAGGATGACCTCTTTGCGCGCCCAGACCACGTGACGCCGCCGGTTCTTGTAGAAGACGACACCGCGCGCCCGCCGGCTGACCGGGTCGATGATAACGCGTGTCACGTGGCTGTGGATCAGGATGTTGAGGTTGGGCCGGTGCGAGGCCGCCCGCAGAAAGGCTCGGGCCGCCGACCACCGCTCGCCGAGCTTGGTGGTCGACTGGCTGTTCATAAACCCTGCGGAGGGTGCAGATGAGGTCAGAGGAATGCCAGATGGGCTGTACGACCGTTTATTATTTATTTGTAAAGGCGACATTAATATCGAGATGCATGATATAAAAAGCCATCTCCTCGTTCAAAAGTGACTGAGGTGAAAAGTGAAAAAACATATTGAATCTGAATGATTAAACAAAGTGGTAGACGATCAATACGTTAAACCTCTCTGATTTCACGAGACTGTGTGTCGGAACTAGACTGGTAGATCCCCTAAAATAGTACCCTCACAACTCCGATTACATCTAACGCGTGCACAGTCGATCCAATATTGTCTACACCTACCACTGCAGAGCAGCTCCTGCACGCCACACTCACTGATCTGCCGGTCGCCGTTGATGTCGCCGATCTCGAAGCCCAGGTGCCGGGCGGCCTGTATCCAGATTCCGGCGAGGCCGGACAGGTAGCGGGCGGAGGAGACGGGCAGGTAGCCGCCCACGCCGTGGTAGGCTGGGGAAGCATATATAGGCCGGTCTCACCGTCCGAACAGCGTGAAAATACGAGACAAACGTATAGCAAGGCCAGTCAGTGGTTATACCTAATGCTATGCCAAAAAATGTTATTTTAAATTTGTGTGTTTTTAAAAACAGCTGTTTTCCGGTCTTCTCCCGGGGGCGGATCCAGGGGAGCGGCTTTGGGTGTTAAAGCCCCGCCGAAAAAAAAATATGCCGAAGAAATTTATGGGTCCGTTCCTACTTTCTCTCACGACTCTGGCGGAGGTACGGGTCCTGGTTGTCCCACTCACGGCTCTGGCGGAGGGATGGGTCCTGGCGTCCACTCACGGCTCTGGCGGAGGTACGGGTCCCAGTGTCCCAGTGTCCACTCACGGCTGTGGCGGAGGAACGGGTCCCGGTGTCCACTCACGGCTCTGGCGGAGGTACGGGTCCTGGTTGTCCTCGGAGCGTATGAAGTAGGGCAGGACGTCGCGGAAGCCCCAGCCGGGGTTCCCCAGCCGCTCCCACTGGTCGTAGTCGTTCTTGTTGCCTCGGACGTACATCATGCCGTTGATGCCCGTGCTGCCGCCCAGCATCTTACCGCGGTTCAGCGTGCATTGCTGGCGAGAGGCATGGACGTGGCTTATGTAGTGTTTCGAAGAACTATTGCAGGGTAATGTTCAAGTCATTAAAAATGAATTATTTAATACAAATTGTGCGTTTACACACATACAACATATCAACAAAAATGAGATAATTATAAGCGTGCAACCGTGTTCAAATAAGTGTGCTGATTATGTAAGGGCATATTTGCGGTATGATGTTATCGTTGGAGCCACTAAATAGCTTTACGTGTGTTTGCCCGTTAGAATATGCCTAATTGTTAACGTTTTTTTTTAGATAAGATACAAAAAATCATTGTCAAAAGTTGCAGCTTCTCGGGGCTCCTACGTTATTCACCTGTTTCTTGTACCCGATGCAGTAGCCCTCGTCTCGGACGTTGTGGAAGGTCCAGTCGTACTTCCTAACGTTATAGATGAGTGTGGTGAAGAGGGGCCAGTCGGCGAATCCGGAGCCGGCGCCCCCGGCCTCCAGCAGCAGCACGGAGTGGTGGGGATCCTCCGAGAGGCGGGAGGCCAGCGGCGAGCCGCCGGCGCCGCTGCCCACTGGGGACAGGGCGCGGGGATCAGGTCGCGGGGGTGAGGTCACACCTGACAGGTCACAGGTGACAGGTCACAGGTGACAGGTCACAGGTGACAGGTCACAGGTGACAGGTCACAGGTGACAGGTGACAGGTGACAGGTGACAGGTCGCGGGGGTCAGGTCACAGCCCACGTAGCGGCACGTGCCGGATGACATCTGACGGGCGACACTCGCTGCGATAAGTTATCTTGTCATATGCATATGGTATCGTAGAATAAAGCTTGGAAACATGAAAGCTGCTACTGTATTAGGTTGAAATATTTAGTGTTCAGCACATCCCCTCCTACCTGCTCCTTCCCCAGTGAAGGCCGTTCTTACCTACGATAAAGTCGTACTCCTCCAGCAGTGGCTTGTCGTAGACGATGTGGTTTGGATTCTCGACCGGCACAAACAAAGCGATCACCAGTAACTTCTTCACGATCCATTTTGCTATTCTGATGATAATTTTGACGAAGTAGCTTCCCATACTTCAGCTGAAGTGATCTGGGACTCGCTAGTAGCTTTTTCGTAAGACGATATTCAGCACTGCAGAAACTAAACCCATTATCGTGCGCAATATTAAACGATGCCCAGACATTATCTTGTCTTTGAGCTGGTCTGGTGGTGTCTTTGAAAATTAAAATCACAACGACACTGATTGGGCACGGTCTTGACGCAAGCTAGCCACTATCTAGTCACTATCCACTATCCTCAGTCCACACATATCGTCACTGCCTCAAACCGTTTCGACACTCTCTTCTGTTCTGTCTCGTTACTATCTCGTTGCTACCTTATCCATCTCATGGCTAGCGCTGACGCCCTCAATCCACTCCTGTCCACGCGTAAAATCTCTGAACGTCGCTGAACGACACCAACAGTCTCTGAAAGTCTATCCGACAGTCTCTTATCCCACACTCCAGACGTTTCACTAAGCTCGTTTGCCCTTCACTTCACTCGGCCAACGGGCAGCAACTGACCTGCGGGGCTGACCTGCCGACCAGTCGGTGAGCCGACAGCCGGAGTTGGCCAATCACACTGGAACGCAGTCGCGACGGAACGAGACGGTAGGCTAAAGGGCGTGAAGAAGGGAAGGGACGTGCGGTGGAGGCAATAGCGACCGACACTGCCATAAGTAAGTGGTCATGGGTCGTGGAGGAAACGAAGAAGACAGGCGATTCGATACGTTCGGAAAGGCTTCAATCAAGCACTACCGACTGCAGTGCCAGACCAGAACCAATGTCAACTGACATGTTAATCGTAACGTGCTCGTTTAACATGTTCTTTTCTATTGTGAAATGTAGATTTGAGCGTCTTCCTCTGAATGGATAAAAACTGCATCCGTTGCTTCATCCACCAATGAATTCAGCATGAACAGGCTGCGATGGAGCTCATACCGCGCTCACGGTCGCCATTGGCTTAGTGTAGTGACCAGCTGGGCGGCCGGCGCGGTCGCTCCGTTTCACCATACATGACCCACGTAAAACCACCTTGGTGCGGTATACGGTCTGGCGGGTTTTTACTGACGGCCAGTGGCTACGCACTGACGAGCGCTCGATCGGCGCTCGGTCACCGTATGCGACTGGGAATGAAAGGGAAACGCCGACACCGGCCCTCTGCGCTGTGCAGTGAAACGATTATCGATCAAATCTTCGAATCTTTGATCAAATCGAAACACTCTTTTGCCGTTAACGGGCATAAGAATAGTAAACTTGAAACAATATGCGACATTACTTAGCTTTTATGTTCAGCAAATTATGAATAGGTTGTTTTACGTAGGCTTTGCAAAGCAGCTTGTGATTAGTATAAGTTCTACATATATTGTCGGTAACACAATCAGTCAGTGAGCAAACTCTTGAACTTCGAGCTCACACTTCTTCCAAGAACATAGTCGGGACACAATTCCCTGGTGATCCATTGTCAATGCACAAGAAACGACATTACATTATTACATATTGTCATAACACTAGCGAAACAGATTCGCATAACAGCGTGATAGCCTGCAATCTACATAGCATGATACGGCACGTGTACTGCGGGTGTGCTTCTTCGCCTCACATGTTTTTGTGTGTCTGGGCAGAGCCATCATTAGCATCGAAGGCGAGCTCGTCTTCCAAAAGCTCAGCCATGCACTGTCACACGTTTTCATATCTACTCGCACTCCTCACACTCCAGACACTTAGACCGACACTCGGTCACATGCACTTTGCTCCTGTCTCCCCCTCGCACACAAAGTCCCGGATGTTGAAGAAGCGCACGCTGCCGGTGCCAAGTGCAGCCTCCTGGAAGCCGTGCCAATCTGCCGGGTACAGACGCACCATCCCGTAGATCCGGCGCGCCTGCGACACAAACACCTTGGTCGGCTTGCGCGCGAACTGCGCCGCGCAGTAGAAGTAGCTGATGCTCGAGTCCGGGTCGAAGATCTCCACGTGGAAGAGCCGGCAGCCGCTGACGAACCAGACGCGGCGCAGCTCCGTGTCGGGCTTCCTGGACAGGGTGACGGCGATGGCCGCGCGCGTACAGGCCAGCGAGTCGGGCACCTCCGTCTTCCAGACGCAGGAGATGGCCGCCTCGCGCTGCGTCATCATGCTCTGGAAGGTGACGACGCGGTTGAAGTGCGGGTCGCCGGCCACCACGTGCTGGTTGCACTCGGCCGGCTTCGGCTGCGACTCGCTGCACGCCTTCAGAGGACAGCCGTACTCGCGGTTGACGAGCGCCGCGTCGCTGTCGGAGGGCGTGCTCCAGTCGGTGCCGAGGATGGACGACAGCACCAGGCCGTCCTCGTCCGTGCCGTTCTGTGTCTTGCCCAGGAACACGCTCTCGCCGTTGTAGCTGAGCCCGTAGGCGTCGAACTGCATGACGGAACCGTAGTCGTAGGGGCAGTCGTCGTAGCCGCGGTAGTTGAAGTAGAACACGTCCTCCAGTGCCGTGTTGTGGTACTGCACGGACACGAACTGCTCGCGGTCGGGCCGCGAGTGCTGGTGCACCAGGCCGATCACGTGGCCGAGCAGATGCACCACGGTGCCCCTGTCGCACACCTCTGACACAGACATCACCAGGCGAGTGGAGTGGTACCCCACGTGCGTGTAGCACCCCTCGCCCTGGATGATGTTGAGCACGTTCCCGATGCCCTCAGCAAACTTGATGCACGTTTTCGTGGACCACGCCTCCATGGCGTCGAGCACCATCTGTTTGTCGGGCGATGGGTCGCCGAACTGGTAGCCGATTGTGTTCGCCGGCCACTTCTCCTCGATGAGCGGCCACGTATTGTTGCTGCGGTACCCGGTCTTGGACCAGCGGGCCTGCTGCGACACTGTCAGCACCATATCTGCCTCAAACAGAGTCGCTCGGACAGAGGCGATCTTTCTGTTCAGCATAACCCTGTCCGTCGGCGTCAAGAACTCCCGGCGTGCATCCTCGCAGTCTTGCCTGTCTTCGTCACTGAACAAACTGACGTTGCGGGCTTCGCTTCGATAGACGCAGATGCAGCCAATTATTATCATTCTAGCTATCATGTTTTTATATCTTGACAATAGATTGCGAACGAATCATGCGACTAACTCGCTTGTGGAATGATGATGAATATATAAAAACTGAATTATTCATGTGCTGAGGTCTACGACCAAAGCTATACAAAACGATACAGTTGCGTGGAGTCGGCATTGCGACATTATGAAGTGATGTGATAATGCCAACACTTGACATAGAAACAAAACAACAATTATGGTAGAAATTGAGATTGTGTTCTGACCTTTTGTATGAATTTTTGATGTGGTTCCCTAACTGATTTTATGAAAAAGTTTTACGAACTCGTTACGGACTACGCTGTTTGGACATCCTATTCAGCTTTATACAAACGAAATTAAAGCGACAAAAACTCGGATGCGCCTCTGGTCACGCGCAATAGATTGTACATTTTTCCCTTCAGCAATAATTCAGTCGGGTACAGGTAAATGTTTACTTATTTGATGCCTGTGGTGCTAAGCGGTGGAAGATAAAAGCAATTCCTGGCCCAATTTAGCTAATGGTCGAAATTTGATCTCACTCCATCCTCCACTCTTCATAAGAAAGAGCACTCTCTGGGACTCCCGGTGTCGTGTGTGTAAACGAGGGACAGTCCCGTTACTGCTGGACGTTTGTCAGGCAGTGTCCCTGATAACTGACCCATTTACTGCTGGACGTTTGTTGGGCCATGTCGCTGAGGGACAGCCCGTTTACTGCTGGACGTTTGTCAGGCAGTGTCCCTGAAAACCGACCCGTTTACTGCTGGACGTTCGTTGGGCAATGTCGCTGAGGGACATCCCGTTTACTGCTGGATATTTGTCGGGCAGTGTCCATGAGGGACAGTCCCGTTTACTGGTGGATATTTGTCGGGCAGTGTCCCTGAGGGACAGTCCCGTTTACTGGTGGACGTTTGTCGGGCAGTGTCCCTGGGGGACCAGTCCCTTTACTGCTGGACATTTGTCGGGCAGTGTCCCTGAGGGACCGGTCCGTTTACTGCTGGACATTTGTCGGGTGCAGTGTCCCTGAGGGACCGATCCGTTTACTGCTGGACATTTGTCGGGCAGTGTCCCTGAGGGACCGGTCCGTTTACTGCTGGACGTTTGTCGGGCAGTGTTCCTGAGGGATAATCCCGTTTACTGCTGGACGTTTGTCGAGTGATGTCCCTGAGAGACTGGCACTGGACGTTTGTCGGGCAGTGTCCCTGAGGGACCGGTAAATTTACTGCTGGACATTTGTCGGGCAGTGTCCCTGAGTCCGTTTATTGCTGGACGTTTGTCGGTCAGCATGGGCGCGGCTGCGGTAAGCGGCGATGGCGGTCACACCCCGTCACACACGGCTGGTCTGCTCCGTCAGCTCTCTGGGCCGCGGAGTCAGCAGATCTCGGACATGACAGGTGCACTCTGACAGTAACAGACATGACAACCCGGCCCGCCGCCCGACAATGGCAGCTGGAAGGGACTCAACGTGATAAGTGCCCGGACACCATGGTCATTGGTCATGTAACCGAGGGACAGTGGCTCGGCACGTGCAGTAAACCCCTGTCTGCACCTTATCAGCCGTTTTGTACGAAACTCTGCTTTGTCGGGCAGCCTTCTGAATCATTCCCTCAGTGAACAACAATCAGTTCAACTCATTGTTCTCACAGATATTTCGTTACACGGGCACGGCTACCGCATGCTTGTGCACAAGTTGAAAGCTTCTCTCGAAAGCACTAGTTTACCCCGGGTGTTTTTTAATGTGATCAAAAATAGAGCTGCATTGAATGAGCCCATGGTTATTGGTGCAATTGAAAAGTGACAAGGGATTGCATTTAGTGCCCGTTAGAAAGTAAAAGTAATATTTTGTATGAGTCATGCACTACAAGCTGCTGCCTATCTACATAGGCATAATGATCCAGCGACCAACTTTTGGTGAAACATCTAAATACGATGCCTAATTCTCTCCCTTTATATTTATAGCGGGCATATGTTTTTAACAGTTTAGCTGCAGCCATCGCATTTAGTGTCCTTGCTGTCGCTAAGTTATTACCCATCCATAATGTCAGGGCCCACTTCGCTTCCTGCTGCCGCCCCTGGACTATCACGCGGTCTATTTATCCCGCTGTCGAATTTGTCAAATCAGCCGTCTGGCGCCGCTGCAAGGTCAGCCCCTGGGCCGCTCCGCTGTCCGGCCTTGGCAGCCGGCAGGCACTAATTGCTACACGCTGACGGCACCCGACCCGACGGCCCAGTGGCACGTGCGCGTAACGCTCTCAGGGTCACGTCACGACCGTGACGGGCAGCGAGCTGCGTCGTGACGGTCCGGTCCGTGACTCCGGGGAGGAGGGGACGCCATGGCAGCTGCAGGGTCCGGCGGCCGGCCGGCGCCGCGGCTGGGCCGGGCCGCAGTTGGTGAGACCGCGGCGCGCCGACCGCACTGGACAGGGGGACACGCTGTGGACGCCGGGTGGACCAGGTGTGGACGCCGAGTGGACCAGGTGTGGACGCGGCTGGATACTCCTGGTCGTCTGTGATTTAGTGTGATACGAGGCTCATATACCTTATACGGAAAGCATCTTTGATTGTGTGGTAGTTACGAGAAAAACGCCCTGCCGAGAGCAGTGCATTGATCAGTGACGGTGGATGACACTCAGTGACAGTGTGTATTTCATGCTGGCAGCAACCAGCGCAATCTTTCGCTGCGATATGTGATTGAACCTCTTTCTGACATCCACATCAATGGGAGAGACGCGTGACTCTTCATCGCTTCCCCGAATGTATGGCCCGATATTTTCGCCGGTTGTGATACCCAGTAAACGTCGCCGACATGCGCGGTGTGATCGACACATCATTAAACGGCGTGAGTGATCGCTGATTGAAACTGAACATCCCAGGAACTGAGCTGTATACGAGAAGGAAATTCTCCCATCAGCAGTCCCCAGCCGGGCCGTTCTGAGCAGCCACCTCTACCGAGCAGCGTCAGCTTTACGAGGCGTTCCCTCGAGTGATTATCGAGCCGTTCCACCTGCGTGGGGCCAGGTGCGTCCACCGTCCCTCCCGAGTGACGTCATACTACTCCAGCTGTCCCTACCACGTGACGTCACACCTTGACCAGCCGTCCGGATGCCGGCGCCGCTGGGTCGCCCGGTCGGCGGCCGCTGGCCGGCCTCCTGCTGTGGCTGCCTGGACCTGCGCACCGGCTGCCTGGTCATCGCCTCGGCCATCATCGTGCTGGAGATCGTGGGCAGCGTGGGCGCCGTGGTCGGCCTGCACCTGATGGGCGGCGGCCTGACACTGGCAGAGGAGCTGGACGGAGAGCTGGAGCAGCCGGCCGGCGGCGGCGGCACCGGGACGGCCTGGGTGCCGCTGCTGCCCGACGAGCCCGCCTGGGTGCCGCAGCAGCCGCCGCCGGACACCGAACTCCTGCAGGAGCTGGAGCTGGAGCTGGAGTCGGAGCTGAAGTCGGAGCTGGAGCTGGAGCTGGAGTCTGTAGCCACAGCCGGCGGCTCGCCGCTCCAGTGGGCCGCGCAGGACAGCACCGTGCTCCGTCTTCAGCAGCCCATTGACGTGTTACTGCATCCCGGCCATCCGGGGGAAGTCGAGGGTGGGGAGCGGAACCGTCACAAAGCCGCACTGGAGGGCGGAGAGCTAGGAGGCAGGAGAGGAGAGACCGACAGAGGCGATCCGCCGACCTTAGCTGATCGGCCGATAAAGTCCAACGACAGCAGGGCCGAAACGGGAGAGAGTAAAGACAATATCGTGCATCTAAAGGGATCAGACAAAAGTGGTCTACACACAAATGTGTCAAATGTCAGGGGTGACGCAGAAAGGCCAGAAGTCAGCAAGGCGCAGTCGGGGAAGCCAGACGCTATCTTACCTGAACAGAAGCCAGACAAGAATAAAACTCAGTCAGACTCTGATGAGATAGACGTCAGTGGAGGTGAACCAGAGAAACCCGACAGCAAGCCTCAGCGTGGTGCCTCATCTCAGTCCACAGACTCGTCTGAGAGCAGCCCTCAGCTGGAGCCGTCACAGAACACCACCGTCTCCTCCTCAGAAGGCCCCCGGGCACCGGAGCACGGCTGGAGCCGTGACCAGGTCACTGGAGGGCCGGCGACTCCGACCGACGAGGGCGCAGCCGCGGGGGTCTCCGGCGGACAGCAGGGTGGCTTGTCAGGACACGGGGACGATGTTGGAGGCACTGGCAGTAACGACAAGGTTCAGCCGTCCTCCGCCACCTCACAGCGGCCTGGTAACATCTCTCAGTCAGGGAGCAATGTAACTCGGCCTTTTAACCATGTATCAAAGACGCTTCAAGGCATAATGCAATCTGTTGCTACGGGCGGAAAGCCGTCTCTGAATTCTTCAAACGTAACATCAATTAAAGGAAATCAATCGGTTTCGCCAAAAGAACCACCTATGAAGGGAAAAGACGTTTCCGAAAACTGGAACTCCACTCGTGATAAAACTAAACACAAAAACGTTACAGACAGCGCCGAGTCGGCTGATAGCGACTCTCCTCTCAGCTTCTCCAGTGAAGACGCCATTCCATTTTCATCTGTTCTGTCTCAACATCAGCCCTCAGCCCAGCAGACTCGGCCCCAGCTGAGACCAACAGACCGAGAGGAAAAGGGACCGGGTGACGAGAGCTCTGTGATCACAGAACGAACTGAGGCAGCTACAATCGACCGAACTACGGAGCGAGCCGTAACGACGAGACGTGTCGGGACGGCAGTTGGTGACTGGGAAGATGACACTGCTGGTAGACAGCGTGGCACCACAGACAGAGCCCTGTTCAACTCCGACCCTCTGCGTCCTGGTCCTCTCACTCCACTGAATAGCCT